TTACTTTTCAGATCCTCCTACTGTGCTCCCAACCGCCTGTCAGATCTTCCCAACCACGACTCCCTCCCCCCTCCTCATTCCCTCCACGACACAACCGTACCCCCCCCCTCCCGGCCCTCCAGACCGTCCTGTCGACAACCTCTCTCCCCACCTCTCCCTCACCTATTCACTATTCTCGCCATTGACCCAACCTGCAACGAACATTTGCCCCATCCACTTATATTCTGTCGAAGCGCCCCAAAACACCAACCTGAGCTCTCCAACATCCAACCCCCCCCCACGCCGCCTTACATCAGTCGGTCGCCAAAGCCTACAGAAGGCTTACTGTTCGGCACCCTTTCCACGCAGGCAAACCTTCGGCACGACGGCTAGCCGCGAACAGCATTAGTCCCAGGCAAACCCACATGCACACGTGAACCAAACATTAGTAGAACAGCAAAATAAAAAATCGGGTAGAAAAAAGGGAAAACAATAACAAAACAAAAAATAGGAAAAAAGAAAAGAAAAAGAAGAAGAGATAAAGAATTTTCATCCCACGCAATAGGAAATCTGGCCCCAAACACATCAATGCTCCGACCTAGCTCGTTGACCATACCCATTCTCACCCTATCTCAAACCGCCACTTCACCAGATCGGTCCATCCTCATCACACCCCACTAGATCGACCATCCACATATCTGACAGCGCCTGACTGCAGCCCTAAATCGAGAAAGGAAAAGGAAAAAACTCGGCGACATTTATTTAATCTAACTTGAGGGGAAAAAAAGGAGAGAGAAAAAAAAATATCAAAAATCCCACAGACCCTTACCGATCAGTGTCGTCCTCAAACACCAACAGACCGAGCAGGTATTACCAATCACAGAAGATCTAAACACTAGAATCTCACCCCCCCTCCCCCACCCCCCCAGATCGCACCCCGTCGTCACAGCCATAGGCCATGATGGCCATGACCATGACATTCCAGTGCCACTTCGCCTCGGTCGTAGCGGCCAAGTCCCAAAACAAGCCCAAAAGTCCTCAGCAGTCGAACGGACCACTCGTCGACCATGAGACGCTTCAATTCCTGCTGGAATCTCCGCAAATCAAAGGAGAAAAAATAATAAAGAAGATTCTGCGAGGTGCAAGGCCTCGGTAAGCCCTACTGCGCCCTGTTTGCAACAGTGTCGGCCACACTAAGTGAAGGCAGGCCCGACCTACGACAAGAGGCCTATTTTCTTTGGCTACCACGCAACTGGGGAAATTCAGGCAGTTGTGCAGCGCCAGTTGGTTGAGAGCGCCCAGGCCCTGGCTGCCTTTTTCGTATGTAACTGAGGCAGGCCCTGGACCGGATACACAACATGGACCGAACACAGGCTGCGGGCAGTTGAACACGGGTATGTTATGAACTTGGTTGTCTGACGATTTTTACCGCCACTCACACACAGACAATCTCATACACGCCCATACATGCATAAGAGAAGGGGGAGAGGAGACAGAGTCCACACTGCACACAGATCAGAGTAGGCAGCGGAATACAGCTATGCACAGATGGGGAGAAGACACACAGTGTTTCTCACTCTCTGACAAACTCCCAACAACCAATCACAAGAGGARCCTGCGAGGATAACAATTGAAATTGCACTGATGAYGAGCCAACTCAAACAATTATCGTAACAGAGTATGTTCCAGTATCTCGCCACTCTCAGAACTCACACCCCACTCTCTATCCTACACCCAGTTAGTAGCGCCACATCAGCATTGCCTTCCAGAGGCCAGCGCCAACCACCCTAATGAAGAACAGGTCCTGCGATGAAGTCTTCAGTGCCGATGGACAACTCTGACGAAAGAACAGGCAGCTATGGCTGCCACCACCCACGATTACACAGTGTAGAGCCTCGATATAGCCCGGCCAGACGCAGATACCCCAGGGGTAGATGCGCTGAGGATGCCCCAGCTATGGCAGACTCAGACTGGGCCGGCTATGGCTGCTGTCAACGGCGAGGTCTCAGGATGCCGCCTGCAGACAACCACTGCCACAGTGTAGGATAGAGAGTGGGGGGTGAGTTCTGAGAGTGGCGAGATACTGGAACAAACTTTGTACGATAATTGTTTGAGTTGACTCATCATCAGTGCAATTTCAATGGTTATCCTCGCAGGTGCTACTTGTGATTGGTTGTTGGGAGTTTGTCAGAGAGAGAGAAACATTGTGTGTCTTCTCCCCATCTGTGCATAGCTGTATTCCGCTGCCTACTTCGATCTGTGTGCAGTGTGGACTCTGTCTCCTCTCCCCTTTCTCTTATGCATGTATGGGCGTGTATGAGATTGTCTGTGTGTGAGTGGAGGTGAAAAGCGTCAGACAACCAAGATCATAACAGGTAACCGCCATAGGCCCTGGGCCTGACTCGTTTGGACTGGGGATCAGCCACTAAGGGCCTACCGGAAGCTTCTGGGCAGGGGCCGAGCGCAGCCAGGACGCACGCAGCAGGCAGGCCTGCCCTGGCATTCGGTATTTGGGCACTGGCTGCATGCTGCGCTAATTGCTGGCCAGTGCCCACGCGCTCACGGGCGAGCAGGAAGAGCAGGCAGCCATAGCCGAGCCGCCCTGCGCTATGCTGGGTGG